CGTAGCCAAAGAGCCACGTCTGCGGGAAGGGGAGCCGTGAGGGAAAGGAGTCACTCCCTCCTTTCCCCATGGCTCCCCATCAAAGACTCCCCCCGCTCCCCATGAGTGCTAACCCAACCTCCCCTCTGCTCAGCGCTTTCCTCGTTCCCAGCCTCAACAGCATCCTCCACGGATTTCCCTCCTACTGACCTGCAGGGCAGTGGACTTGGCATAGACAATCTCTTCGTCCACCCCCACCGAGACCACGATGGCGTCGACATTGGCATAGTCATCCTCTCCCTTCTGCAAGGGAAGCAGAGGGAAATGAGGGCTGGGGTCTCTCCCCCAAACTGTGTCATGCTAATCAGAAAGGCTCATTTGACCTCTTTGGGCTCTCAATGACCTGTAGCCTCAGAGGGGCAGCCCAGGGCTTCGAGGGGTAGGGAGCAATTGTAATGTTTGATACAAATCTGGAGGGTTCTCAGAAACGACAGAGCAGAAACCTAAGGGGAAGGTTGTGGATGGGCAATGAGGAAGGAAGAGTGGTTAGCAGAGATGAATGAGAAAGGATACAACAGCTGACTACTAAATTGGACAGAGAAGACTGTTTAGCCTAAGGGAGTTAGGGACCCAACCTGCAAATCAATGACTGCTGGGCACCTAACTCCCTTTGAATATCCTAGCCTCTCACTTGGGCAGAGATGGCCTAAGTTACCTGAGAGATTTGGATACCCTACTCCCATCAAAGTGAACAGAACTGGCACCCAAATCCCGTAGGCACGTTAGAAAAGCTGAAACTCATGGCACATTTCTAGGTTCTGGGTAGCAGAGAAAAGCCTGGGAATGTGACTCACGTGCTACCCAAAGACCTAGAAACCAAACAGCAAAAAAACAAAAACAAGACACCAAAGTTCATTTAAAAAAACAAATCACCATTTTAAGGCCATCTCGTGATTTTGGAACATTGGGAGCTGGCAAAAGAGCCCAAAGAATCAGCTCACCACTAACAACCCCTAGGCCCCCCCAAATCAAGGTGGGAGCTTCTAGCAGTCCAAAGTATTTATCCAGACCCCATTCCTGTAGTATCCGAGCATGCCGCAATCAAACAGATTTATGCCCACGTACCCCTGCGGAGTAGGGTAGCGTCCCCATTGTACTGGGAGGCTAAGGGACTGGTCCAAGCGCTCACAGAGAGTCTGTGGCAGAGCAGGAAGTTGAGCCCAGCCCCCCAGAGTCTCAGGCACCCTTTGATCTTAACACAGCTCCGGTGGCTGCTCCACCTTCAGCTCTGTGCTTAGATCACAAAAGACTTGGGGAGGCCTCTTCTGTGCAGCAGCTAGCGCGATGGTGCCCCAGTTCCCTACTGGAGACTGCTACATGTTCAATAAACACAGGTGGGGTGGGGGGGGGCTGCAGAGGCAGCAGAGCTCAGAGCTGGGCACATCACTAGCAGCCAGCGGGACTCCTCATGGGTAGGGAGCTCATTGCAGCATAGTACCTCTCTATGGCGGATGAGAGCATTATGTGGGGTGGGAAAAGAGAACCCCTATACTCCATAATGGCCCCTCACCACTACCAGTGCCAAAGTCCCCCTGCCACTGGGAGCCCTTGGGGCCAATTCTGAGCAGTGACCCCCGCCCCCAGATGCGCTGCCTTGCTCCCAGGTTGGAAACAGGAAAACAAAGTTAGGGGACATCCTGTGGGTGAGAGAGAAGTTAGGGCCCCCTGGATGTTGGGGTGGGTGGGCCAGGGTGTCTCTCGCCCTTCTGAACCGAGGGGACTGTGCTGGGGGGCCCAGGCCTAGCCCCAGCCAGCAGGGGGAGATTGCTCCCCAAGAGGAGGAACTAGGGGGTTCTTTTGATCCTGGGGGCATCGGGGCTGCACCTGGGGATCTCTGGGGACTAGGCCTTGGCCCGGGGGGAGGAAAAGGGGACCCCCAGAGCAGATCCAGGGAAGGGTTCCCCAGCAGGGTCTCCCCTAGAGATGTTGCAGGACAGAGAAGATCCCTGGCTGGGGGGATGGTGGGTGCTCAGGCCTGGGAAGCCAGGAGTCTCTGCATGGCAGGTGTCCCGGGTGGGGTCCCCATGGCGAGTCCCGGTGTCTCAGGGGCAGGGGTCCTGGTGGAGGATCCCGGAGGGGAGCTCCCAGAAGTGGGGTTCCAGGAAGTTCTGAGGGGCTGCCGGGGGGGGGGGGCGAGGGAGTGATCGTGACCAGGAGGGGAAAGGGGGCAG